GTCCCTTGCTGGGACCTGGCCTGCAGCCCAGGCATGTGCCCTGACTGGGAATCGAACCTCGATCCTTTGGTTCACAGGCCTATGCTCAATCCACTGAGCTACACCAGCCAGGGGAGAAAATAGGTTTCTTGACTTTTTCAGTTTCTACAAGCCACCCGCATTCCTTGGTTCATGCCCTTCTTAGCATCACTCCAACCTCTTGCTTTGTTGCACCTTCTGCTCTTAATGACACTGGTCCTTTTAGCTCCCTAAGTAAACCTGTGATTATATTGGTTGGGCCCACCTGGATAATCAAGGCTAATCTCCCCATTTCAGTTTGTTCGTTCGTTCGTTCCTCCCTCCCTCCCTCCTTTCTTTTTCTTTTCTTTCTCTCCTTCTTTTTTCTTTCTTTCTTTCTTTCTCTCTCTCTCTCTCTCTCTCTCTCTTTCTTTCTTTCGTTTTATATGAACAGCTTTATTTTTGTTTTTATTTTAATTTTTTATTTAATTGTTGTTCAAGTAGTTTTGTCTTTTACTCCCATCCTGGCCCACCCCCAGTGCTCCCTTATTTATTACTTAAAATTTTTTTAATTGTTGTGGTCAAGTAGTTTTCTGCCCTTTACCCCCAGCCCAACCCACGCCCCCAGCCTTCCCCACCTCCCTCCCGTCTCCACCCTCCCTTGTTATTGTCCATGTGTCCTATATACTTGTTCCTTCAAACCCTTCTCCACACCCCCTGAAATTCCCTCCTTTCTCCCCTCTGGTCACTGTCAGCCTGTTCTCAATTTCAGTGTCTTTGGTTATATTTTGCCTGTTTGTTTTGTTGATTAGATTCCTGTTAAAGGTGAGATCATATGTTACTTGTCTTTCGCCGTCTGGCTTATTTCACTTAGCATAATGCTCTCCAGTTCCATCTATGCTGTCGCAGAGAGTAGAAGCTCCTTCTTTCTTTCTGCTGCATGGAATTCCATTGTGTAAATGTACCATAGTTTTTTTTTTTGAAACACAGCCAACAGTACCTGATCTGTTTCTTAACCTTAATTGTACCTGCAAAGTCCCTTTTACCACACAAGGTAACATATTCATCAATTCCCATGATTAGGATGCGGACATCTTTTTGTGGGGTGGGACTGGGGATTACTTAGTTTACTACACTCAGTTGCAGGTTAGACTAGCTATGTAGAAGGCAAGTCTACCATGTCCTAGTTTCATTGTGAGGCCTCTTCTGTCCAGATTTGTGTTTTCTTGTTAAATGTGAGCCTCCAAACTGCTCTTGGGTCAGGTGACTAATGTTGGCCCAGTCATCTCTGTGAATGATGGAAAACATCAAGTGGTACATAACTCAGACGATTAAACCCCAACTCTGGTTGCTTTCTTCACAAAGAAGCTGAGTAGGAACATTTATAGAAGGCTTGGGGCACAGGAATCGAGCAAGCTGTTTCTAGTCCTGATGCTGCCATATACTACGTATGGGGCCTTGAACACCTGTCTTTGCTAGTGTAGTCCATCTTTAAGGACTGGGGGACAAGGACATTGGCACAAATTCTGACCCAAAAGATACAGAGAGCCCTGTTTGATACTGTATATTGTTATCTCTGTGGGCAAATATGACTGATAAGGCTGATGAGTGGCCATAGTACTGCACACAGCCGAAAACAGCCTTGTGAACACCATCATTGGTTTTATCCCCATAGCCACCTGTTTGCAGAGCTGGAGGGAGGGGGACATAATTAACCAGAGATCCTATCTGGGAAAAGTGAAGATGAAAAGTTAGAATGGAAAGAAGTCTTTTACCAGAACCCCAGTACATGAGCACGGATTATCTGCAAGAAAATATGTAACATTTGCTTCCCTAAGCAATTTAAAGATTGAAAATATAAGTGCCCAATCTAAAGTATCTTTCTTTTAGAGGTTGAGGTGATTAATTCAGTGAGATTACAATTTTCCAAATGTTGGCAATTCTTAGCATGAAGTTGCTTTCATCTTGTGAGAAATGATTATAAAATGAGACCCATTTCCATGTGTGGTTTATAGAAGCAGCTTCATTATATTGAGGCAACACTTTAGAAAGTAATATTGACCAAAAGGTATTTCTGCAAATGGTTTGACATTCAGTAAAAATAAGTGAAATAAGGTTGGGTAGAAGTTTTGAGGGGAAGGGAAGGAAATTAAAGCTCGGGGTATCTATGCCTTGAGGCTAGATGCTCACACCCAAATTCCCCTTCACAAGATGAGAAATGATGGACACTCTGGGAATTTATCAAGAGGCTAATGTATTCAACTCATCAGTGGCTGGAGAGAGCAGGGGACATCAGCCTAGTGCTGGAGTCTCCCCCACAAGACTCATTTCAAAGACAATCGTCCTCTTGACTTCAGGTTATGCAGTATGTTCCAATCCATGAAGTAAAATGAACTGAATTCACAGAAGCCTTTAACAGTGCTCAATCTAGCCTTAGAGTTCCCTGTGTAAGAGTGACAGCCTCAGGATAGGCCTTTATTTATTAACTAAAAATTGTTTAAAAAAATACACCTGACTGGTGTAGCTCAGCAGATTGAGCACAGGCCTGTGAACCAGAGTATCGCGGTTCGATTCCCAGTCAGGGCACATGCCTGGGTTGCAGGCCGGTTCCAGCAGGGGACACATGAGAGGCAACCATACCTTCATATTTCTCTCCTTCTCTCCCCCTCTGAAGATAAATAAATAAAATCTTTAAAAAAATTTAAAAAAACATTGGTTATTTGGAAGCTTCTTTAAAAAAATAATAATACAAATCTCTTTCCATAGAAGTTTAAAATAGTTGAATTAAGGTTGTGAAAATCAGAGGGGAGAGGGGAGGGAATTTCAGGGGAAAAGGGGAAGGATTTACAGGAAGTAGTATAAAGGACACATGGACAACAACTAAGGGGGGTGGAACTGGGAGTGGGGTGGAGAGCACTGGGGGGGTGGGCTGGGATGGGAGTAAAAGACAGAAAACTGTACTTGAACAATAATTAAATAAAACATTTTTAAAAGGTTGTAAAAATCTAATAAACATTGGTTGTAAGAGATTTTGGGGGAAATATTGCATGAAAGTTATTCAGTGATAAATAAGGTTTTACTCCTATCATGTATTTTTTCTTGATTCTTAGGAGTCATCAATCATGCTGTTAAAGAACAAAACTGGAAAATCTGGCTTTATTAAGCAACTCATGAATTGGGCAGCATTCCATCTATTAACTAAAGGGCACTCAGATGAGTTACACAGAATGGAAGGTTTTTATAGGCAGAAGGAGGATGGGACTAAGAAGTTTAAAAAATGGATTGTTTCAGGCTAGAACATCTCCCCTTAGGGGAAGACCGGGGGGTCTTTTCAGACAGATTACCTAACTACTGCTAACCAGGGAATTATACTCTGGGAGAGGTTGAAAATGCAATTAGATTAGTTCTTAACTTTTGGTTTGGTGATGTAGCTTAGCACAGGTGACTCCATTTGGTCTGTTCTTCCTTTTTTTTAAAAACAATGCTGAGCTCATATGGTATTTGTTTTTCACTACCTGGCTTTTTTCACTTAGTAACATAATGCTCTCCAGATCCATCCATGCTGGTGCAAAGGGTAGGAACTCTTTCTTTCTTTTCTCTCTTTCTTCCTCCCCTTCCTCCCCTTCCTTCCTTCCTTCCTTCCTTCCTTCCTTCCTTCCTTCCTTCCTTCCTTCCTTCCTTCCTTCCTTCCTTCCTCCCTCCCTCCCTCCCTCCCTCCCTCCCTCCCTTCCTTCCTGCTGTGTAGTATTCCATTGTGTAAATGTGCCATAACATACATAAAAGACACATGGACAAAGCCAAAGAGGGTAGGGCCCAGGGTGGGAGGTGGGAATGAATAGGGGAGAGTGGTGGGGAGAAAATGGAGACAACTGTACTTGAACATCAATAAAAAATATTTTTAAATGAAACAAAAAATAAAAATAAAAACAATGCTGAGCACTATAAAGTCCTGGAGGGGAAAAAACCCAGGACTGTACATCCTCTGAGTTTAAAAGTTTCTTCAACGCAAAGGCAAAGGTTCATCTCCCACTGGAAATACAGGCATTAGTATAAAACCAAAGCTGTAGATGGCTATAACAGGGTATATTTGTAGTATCAGTTATCTGGCATTTTATCTAATGATTTATTGAATCAAAAGTTATACATAAATGGAAGGGGGAGGGAGTGAGAGAGGAAGGGATAAAGAAACTACCTTATGTTTTTACTATTTACACTACTTATTTATCAAATGATCTTTAGTAAGTACATTTCTCAAACATAATGAAAATGTTTATAATGTCCTCAAAGTCCCCCCATAATACTACATGACCTCTGTAACATTAATATACTCACGACTCCAAATAGAATGAATATTGTAAAGATACGTATTTTTCTGACTTAAGCCTCCTGAACTTTGTGACTGTGGATAGGATCCATTTCCCTGGTGATTTTTAAAATGATGATCCTAAGGTTTTGTCTTATTGGCCCAATGAAGCTATGATTTCTGGTAGAGTTCAAGTCCTCAGAATTGTCTTTGGTTCCTGGTATTGGCATTAATCATGAATTTGTGCTTCTAAATATTCAGTTCCTCCTCCTCCTTCCTTCCCCTCCACCATCTGTTTTGGTTAATGAGTAAGATTTTTTTCTTTTTGATTCATCCTTACCAAGGACATGCTCACTGATTTTAGAGAGAGAGGAGGGGATGGAGAGCAAGAGGGAAAGAGACATCTACATGACAGAGAAACATTGATTGGTTGCCTCTTCCATGCTCCCCAACTGGGGACCAAACCCACAACTTAGGTAGGTGCCCTGATCAGAATTGAACTCATGACCTTTTGGTTTATGGGATGATGCTCCAACCAACTAAACCACACTGGCCAGGGTATGAATAAAAATTTTTTAAATATAAAAAGCACATATGTAAGATTTTCTAAGACCCATATGCCAAAATAAAAAATTACCACAACGACAGTAGTTAGCAGTTTTCATAATTTAATGAAAAAGTATTGGTAAAAAGGTGACATTTGAAAAAAGACTGAATTTATTTTGGAAAACTGGACTATATAAGACAAAATGAAAAGAATTAACAAAGAAGGTTAAGAGGTAATACTTCAAACAACAGCAAAATGTAGCAAATACATTTTGGGGCAATTGAAATTTATACAACTGAAGGCTGCTTCATTTGCCTAGGAAAATCCTGTAAAAATATTACAACTATATTTCCCTGACTGAAATTATTTTAGTCAATACTCTTCCAATGGTATTACATATAGAATTTTGGCTGAAGCACTTTTTCAATGTTTGCTTTTCTTCCCATTCAGAAAGGCATTATGGGACATAGGCTGCTGTACTGGCTTGTAACAGAAGGAGTTTATAACATAGTTCCATTATCGTTTCATTGCCCTGAAAGTGTTAAATTAATATCTGCCCCAGGAGAACTACAAAAAAAGCACAGAAACCTAGTGCATAAATAAAAGAAATTCTATTTCTCCTCTGGATAAGTCATAGCTTTTTCCATTCAAACAAAATATAGGCCACCTCCCATACATGCTAGAACATGTTCATACCAGTACACAGGCATAAAGGAAACATATTGAAGGTGTGGCCAAAGGATAGGCAAAATACAGAAATTTTCAGAACAGGAGGCAAAAACAAAAGCAGAGATCCATTAACAAGGCTGTAAGAACAAAAGTGGGGAGAGGAAACTGTTGAGTTTCCCATATAGAGGGGCAACTAGCATCTACTGCAGCTGGACTGTTTTACCAGTAAGCAACATTAAGACTCTAAAATGGCCTCTTTTGCCTGAAAATTCCTGCTATACTTTTCCAAACTAGAAAAAAGAGAATATTAACTTAAGGCTAGGAAGAAAAGAGAGCAGGAATTATAGTTGGCTTCACATTTTAAAAACTAATGTTATTCCTTTCTTGAAATGGGAAGCAGAGATGTTTATCCCGCCCCCAAATGTAATCATTCTCTTTCTCCCAGAAATTAACCAAGGCTGATAGTTTGGGAACAGTGTATAAGCAACTTCTGAAAAACGGCTCCAGCCTTTTTGTTTGGAAAATTGCTTCAGATTCAAAGTTGGTACAAAGCTAAATTATATCCATGTGTTAAACACATGCTCTCAATTCTGCTTGACAATAAAAATCTGTTTCAAAATTAAAGCAGGTAAGAATACTTAACCTCTGTGCATTCTATTATACTTTAATTATACCTCGATAAAATTTTTATAAACATTAAAGCAGGTATACAAAAACAGTCAGCCAAACTTATTTAAGTCAAACTTATTTGAAAACAATAACACAAAAACCCTGACCTGGTAAAAATCCCCCAGAAATGGTCTTACTTTGGGAAAGGCTCTGGGATCCTTCACAAATGTCCACAACTGAGAGAATCAGAGCATTTTCCTTGGAAGTAGTACTTTTGTAAACACTATCCACAAGTTAGCCTTTTATGCTTGTTAGCTGGGTGAAATAGTTACAAGTGCGTCCCCAGCAAGCAAGTCTAGGAACAGGCACTGGACACTTAGAAGCATTAGTAGTATTGAATTGGTAAATTAAGATCCTCTGAAAGGAACTCAACCTTGTGCAGAACAAACAAAGAGGGTAGTCAGTTTGACAGTATCTGAGATGTTGATCCCTGGTCTTTCCCTGAGGAGGGTTTCCAGATACCAGTGGAGTCAGAAACTTCCTACAGATGGAGCTCTAGGAGTCACATGCTGTAGGTTCAAAAGATAAGTAGTTTTAGTGTTTGATAGTCACAGTTTCTTGCAAATCCAAGAAATAATAATGCAAGGATTCTTAATACATATGCACATCATTGTGTTAACACAACTGGAAAGTTGCCCTGAGTATTTACTGAACAAATACTCTGGGTCCAGCTGTTCTTAATAGGCTCTGGCAAAATAACAAAAACAAAAACAAAAACAAAAAAACAAAAAACAAACTTTTGGACAATCTGCAATTCTTATAATGTGCTTGTGAAAACTATGCTTGAAACTGGTTCATAAACTGCAAACCAATTTACTGTGGAAACATTTTATTCTTTTCACCAAAATTCCTCCCCAACATATGCCAGGGTCCTCTGGTGTATGGGGTTTTCCACAATATATGAGGCAAAGGCAAATATTGCATTTATTCTTGCAATATTCTTGGAAGGCAAATATTCTTGGAAGTTGTTAATCACCTTTGCATTGACCTGCGGGATAGGGGATATGTCTTACTTTTACCATGGCAATCCCGTCTAGAGTCATGAGCAGGATTTTCCCTGTCTGAGCTCTCTCTCCTTACCCTGACTTTTTCTTTATTCCCCTCACTTTCTGCTTCTGAATCACTCAGCTCCAAATCTGGGCAATAACCATCATTTTCCTGATACGGAGCTTTCCCTGCAGAACGCCTGACAAGCTGCTTGCCCCAGAGCTGCTCCCTGGGTTTAACATTCTTAGTTTGCTTCCCATAGCACTGGAGGCCCTCTGTGGTTCTCCCCCACCTGTTGGTGGACTCCTTAAAAGATCTGCTGAAGTGTTTCATGGTAGGCTTTCTAAAGCTGCCCTGACTGGCCAAGTGGGAAGTGAGCATGGACTCTTGGCCACATAATATCTCACTTGAGCTGTCTATTGGGTTGATATCCCCAGACCAGCTGCCCTCCAGGCCATTGGATCTGACAAACTTGGAGATAGGCTGACTTTTCCCATTCCCAATTAAGGACTGTCCATGCATGGTGGTCTGAAGGACCAGAGATTTTCCCAGTGACTGCCCTTGATAGAACTCTGGAGATGGAGTTGTCCGAGCAGGACTAGGATCCTTTGGTTCACTCCTAGAAAGGCCCAGACCTGCCAGTAAACGGTTATTCTTACTTTCTAATGGATACCTTGGATAGGATTTCATTTTCATTTCTAATGATTCCTGAGGCACTTGCACGTTCCCTGTATCGGGAGCAGGGGAGTTGCTGTCAGGAGAAAAGGGTCCATGATCAGACTCTGTGGAACTGTTTCCGCAGTCTTCCAGGGCTAATCTGGGCATTTTTAACTTTAAGGTAATTCTTGGTGGTGGCTGAGATGAGTTATCTGGTCCACTTGACAAAGGAGGTTCTGATATCAAAAAGAAAGATTCATTTTAACAAATGACTTAAATAACAGCATATGTGCTTATGGCAGAGTGAGTTTCCATACCCACTCTTCCAAATGTCTAACAAGAACCTATCTTTCATATGTATGTATATATCATAGTGTATAGCAGCTTGAGTGAGCTGAATTAGTGTTTGCTATGTGACTCCCAACTTTTTCACCTCTGTCCTCCCGATTACAAAGACTAGTGTACTGTCCTTACGTCCCCATTTCTGAAAAGAATATCACTAGCAATGACACACAGTGACTCCCTATTTGTATCTGTATGTGTGTGCATATCTGTGGGTACTGTACAACACTTAGAATGTGCCTTAAATGTAGATATTTCAGAAGCTACTCTCTACTCTCTCCTGGCTGTCCTGAAGCAAATCAAACACAAATCCTCAGGAACATACCATACATTTTGGTGAGTGAAGAGTATGTGAGTAAGGGTTTTAACCTGGCATTAATAGAAGTGGTAGTGAGTGGTTCCCATTACTATTATGTCCTTAACCTAAAAATATTTCCTCACCATGAATGACCTTCAGGGAAGTATGAGGCAAGTTTTGTAATGGCAAGGCTGGCAGAAAGGAATGATGCAATTCCTGCCAATGGCCTGCAGTAAGCTTAGCCTGGGGAGCATTGGCAATCAGTTACCTGGCTATGTCACTCTACAGTCATATTTAGAACAATTATTCCTCTTTCTATGATTTTGAGTACTCTGTAATTAAAGGAGTACTACCAAACAACTCTTCCTTGCGTATGGTCTTGAAGTTTGCCTATTATCATCTTAATGTAGCTTCACAAAAATGACATATAGAGAGCGCAGCTATTAGGTGCCTCAGTGGGCAGAATTTGTTCCTTAAGGGTTCATGGTGAATGCTCACAGCCCCTTCTCTTCCAGAGGCTGCCACTTGCTGATGCCCTAAACAGTTATGGGGCTGCACCTCCCCAATCAGAAGCCATGTGGTCTAGGGGATAATAGCATGCTGGGGCTCCTCCCTGCTATCTTTTGGTTCTTCTTGCCTTGTCTGTCATGGTACTTTTGTGGCTAAGCAGCCTTGCTGCCTCCTGCTACACCATTCTGCTGTGACCCATAATACTCAAAAATATCCCATAGCCTTTGATGCCTACCTGACACCTCATTTCTGGGTGTCTCTCTTGCCCTACAGCTGGTCCTTAGCAGAAGTTGGATTCTGCACACCCTGCTACAGTGACCCCTGGTTGCCTAAGCTCTTCCACCAACTTCTGTATTAAATGAGGCACAGGGAAATCACAAATGTTACTGAACATGACCCATCATTCTAGCCAAGATCCCCATGTTTAGGGCACTGTAATTATGCTCACCTGTCTCTCTCACTAATGGGCAGCATTCCTGTAGGCAGGGGTTCTGTCTCACTGATTACTTTACCTTCTAGCTCAGTTCTTAGTTTACAGTAGATGTTCAACAAATACATGGTGGGAAAAGTAGGTTTATAGCTGTGAATATGCAAGAGTTTATTCTTGTATTATTATTTATTAATTATTGTATTACTTATTATTATTAACCTACTTTTACCACCCCTGTATTAGTGAATGAATAAAAGAGCTAAGAACCCAGATCTCCTAACCTCTGGCTAAGGATTTGTTCTAACAGAGTACTGTTATGATGACTAACTCTGGAATGAGATATTTTCTGGACACTAAGATTAGATACTGTCCTCTTGATTTCTAAATGAATCTGATGATTATTGAATAATTTCATGGCTCCAACTAATGACCCATAATACCTGTCTGGGACCTAGATTACCCGCCCTAGATCTGCAACTCCCCTAACCCCACCCTGGGATTTCTTGTCTCATGGGTTGGTAGTTTAAATGGGCCATGCTACATCAGGTTTGGACCAGAGCAAATGAGACACTGGAAAAAATTTTTTAAAGATTTTAAGTGAAACAATTGACATAAAATTTAAACAGATAAAACAGGATGTAACCAGAATCTATATATTTTCTAGAATACCTTCAGCCATTTCCTGGTTAAGAAGCTTGACTTGCAAACCAAAGATTTGCTCCTGTAGTTTGTTCTGGGACAGCTTCAGCTTCTCTCGTCTGCTTATCATGTAGCACAGATTTCGGACCTGAAAGCCCAACCCGCAGCAAAGAAGTTTTTGTCATGTTATGCAAATCTGACAATTAAAATTGTTTAGCTAAAATTTAGACAACTAAAGTCAGGTGGGGTGGGGGTGGTTGGTAAGAAAAACATGGAACCAAAAAGCTTCATGATATCCACTCCACAGGAATTCACAGAGCATGGCCAGTCTTGGGATCATGGTTCCCATGTTAATCAGCAGCATAAGAAAAATGCTCCAAAACCACCTCTTAAAAGCCTACTCTTCCAATGGTGTCCTGGGCTCGATATTTATCTTCACAACCAGGCTGCGAAGACCAAATGATGATTTAACATTTCAGCCTTCATTTTAGATCCTGGAGTAAATGATAGCAATGCTGGATCAAGTATAATTTTCTAATGAGTGCTGGAATAGCAGTATAAAAGTCTGCCGGGAGACTGGAAGTGGCCTTTTGCTCACTCTTTCAGCTCAGCCAAGTCTCCACAGTTACGAGGGTGGAATACTCATTCTCTCATGCTCCCACCTGGACAAATTACTCAACCTTTCCACACCCTAATTTATTCATCTGTAAATAGGGATAATGATAGCACTTTCTTCATAGGCACGTCAGGATTAAATGAGTTAATATTTATAAAATGCTAAGAACAGTCCTTCTTCATAGTAAGTGCTATATATGTAAGTTAAAATTTAAAAGTGAGCCAACTCTATTAGTCTCCTTCCAAATTCTGGTAGCAGAGAGAAAAAAATAAGCCATGTCTATAATTTTACTTGATTATAAAATTCTCTAGGGTAAACACAGTCTAACATGGTTGAACCCCTATAGTACCAATTCAGTAGACAGCTGATTATAAATAAGTAACTAAATAAATACATACATACATACATAAACATATGTTGTATGGGGGGCAGGGTTGCTACTACCATCTAGTGGGCAGAGAGCAAGGATGCTACTAAACATCTTACAGTGTCTTCTAAAACAAAGGAGTGGCTCCTGCAACAAAGAACTATTCAGTACAAATGTCAGTAATGCTGAGTTTGAGAAACTCTGATCTAGTGCTTTCCTGAACAAAATTCATTCTTTCTTCAGCCTGTAGTCTTCACAAGTTTGTCAGTAAAATATAACTGAGCCAATTTAGGCTCAGTAGTGAATAAAAAGTAGACCAGATGAGAATTTATTTCAGATTTAAGTTCATATAGGATCTAAGTGAGACCTCTCTAATTCCCTGAATGCACCTGCTAAAATTTACAGTCCAATGTCTGGGGTCACAATGAAACCAGAATATGTGGACACAGAAACCCACACTATAAATGAGCTGACCTTAAAAAAACTGGAAGTGGGACCTCCATTTCTATGCAGACTGAGACTTACATAGTAGTCACAGCTGTTCACCTTACCCGCTCTAGGTCTTGCCGTAGATGCATAAACATTCTCATGCGAGTGTGAATACTTTCTACTTTTGGCTGCACTAGGCCTTTTTCTTCATCCTCCTTTGGAGGAAATAATGGCTTATTGAAGTTACTTTTCCGCTTCAGTTTCCAGTAGTTATAGATAAAGTCCACAGTTAGTTTGGGCAGCCCGAGCTCTATGGCCACATCTTCCACACTGACCAGGGTATAGAACTCTTCTTCTAGCTCCCGAAGCTTCTGAGCCCGCAGGCTGGTCTTCTCACTTTTGGCCTGGCTCTGCTCTGCAGACCGGTGTAGGGAGTACTCAGCCTCCCCGAGTTTCTGCCTGTTTTGGCAGTGCTTGAGGCAGAATGACTTAAACTTTACTTCATCCCCTTCATCAAGGATGGTCTTCATCTCTAGGCTGTGCTCAAAGGCACAGGTGACATGGAAGGCAGTGGTGCAGCTTTTCACTGAGCACTGCAGTAAGAAAAAATGTGTTAAAGAACCTTGGCTGGGGAGAAAGGGGAAGCCCTATATCCCTGAGCCTAAAATGAGAGCTCATAGGAAGCAAAAGAAAGATAGGGAGAAAGCTGGTCCTAAACTGGTCATGACAGAGGCTTTATAAGTAACCTAGGAAATCTGCTACTATAGAAAACAGTAAAAACAGAGGCAAAAAACTGAAAACCAAAAAATTTCAAACTCCTCTCTAAGGTTTCAGCTCAAGCAGTAAGTCTGTCTGAGAAGTCTTCTTTGACCCCTCTAAAGAGTTACCAGTACCTACTTTGTGTTTCCCACATTACCTCATTGTATACTTCTATAATGGCACTTTTCACACCGTACCTATAGTACAATAAATGTCAAATCCCCAGCCATAGCTCTTAAGGACAGAAGCTGTGTCATTCATCATGTATTGCCATCAACTACTGGACAAACAGGTATTCAAGAAATGCTTCTGAACAAATGAAAGAAAAAAAACCCCAAAAGCCATTCATTATTGCCAGAACATCTACTAGTTCAAAAAGGCCACAGGCACTCCAATATCTAAGTAACCTAACTTCCTTAAATTGTTCTTGCACGGCTATACTGACCAACATGGTAGCCAACTAGCCAAAAGTAGCTATTTAAATTTAAATTAATTAAAAGCACACAGAATTAAAAATTTCTTGGTCATGCTAGTCACATTCCCCGGTCAATTCCTTGGTCACGCTTGTCACATTCCAATCATACTAGAAAGCACAGATTTCCATCACTGCAGAAAGTTCTATTGGAAAGTATGGTTAGACAGTCTGAAATGAAGTTTATATTTTGCAATTCCCAGATGAAACATATTTGTTAAGTGACACTGTGTAACACACACTGAGAATTCATAGGCAGACAGAGCATCTGGCTCATGACTGCTGCACTCCTCTGCTTCAGCAGACTGAGAAATTCAACACTTAAGAGAATACTGGCAACCATCAGAGCTTTATTGGGACAGATTCCATTTAAACTAATTTCATAGAATAAAGAGTCCCAGGGGTGGAATATAATTCTAAGATCATCTCATCCAGCATCACATTTATTACTGCTTGTACTCTGGAGTACCTCATTTTCCACCTTCCTGCCACCTATCCAAACTCTGTCCACTTTTCAGTTAAGTGGTAATCTTAGCCACTTAACTTCATTTCCAAGACAACCCACCCCAGTGTGGGACAGCTCTTTGGAAAAGTCTGTTACATTACACTGAAATCTGTATCCTTAAAACTTCCATGTATTTGAAAAGCCTCATGAAAATGAGGATGATGAAAGCCCAAAATGTACTTTTTTTCATCACTTGGCTAAGAAACTAGCTAGTCATTTAAAAAACAAGGAGCAAAAGGCATTCTGTAGCTAAAGATTAAAAGCACTGGGCAAAATGTTCTTTTGCTGAATAATTGGTAAAATACAGAAAGAGAAAGCAAAAAGATTGTTTTTATTCAAGGGGATGAATGTGTGACATAAAACTATTATTAATAGGAAGCTAAAAACAGATCATCTCTCTCAGGTCAAATTTATAGACTTTAGAGATATAAATATAAATTATCCAAAATAAAATATAATATACAAATAAGAACTGGGTACTTAGAGTAAAAATGCAATGTCTAAGAAACTGCCATAAAATCCATTCTACTTTCATAGAAATGGACAAGCAAGCAAAATAAAAACAAAGACACTGAAATAGAGAACAGAGGGACAGTGACCAGAGGGGAGAGGAGAGGGAATTTCAGGGGAAACAGGGGAGGGATTGAGAAGAACTAGTATAAAGGACACATGGACAACAGCTAAGGGGGGTGGAAATGGGAGGGAGGTGGGGAGCACAGGGGGTGGGCTGGGATGGGAGTAGAAGATAGAGAACTGTACTTGAAAAATAATTAAATAAAAAAAGAAATGGGGATTTCAATTCTATGATATTTATATAGCTGGAGGTCTATATATTTTGGTGGTAAATGAGAAATGACAACCGAGTTTTGGTGCCAATCAAAAACCTATTTAACTTTTCCCCCAAAACATGTATTTGGTACATCCTATTAAACAAAATGCCTCTGTATACATCTCATTTCTTTCTACTGTAACTATTTAGAGTGGTAAGAGAAACATTATGCCCATTAACAAAAACCAGCTTGCCCTGTTAAGTGTGGCTCAGTTGGTTGGAGTGTTGTCCCATAATTGAAATGTGGTAGGTTCGATTCCTGGTCAGGGCATATATCTACATTGCAGGCTCAATCCTGGTCTGGGTGCATACGATCCCTAGTCTGGGTGTGTACAATCCCCAGTCTGGGTGGGTACAGGAAGAAACCAATCGATGCTTCTCTCTTGCATCAATGTTTGTTTCTCTCTCTCTCTTTTCCTGTCTTTCTAAAAGCAATGGAAAAATGTCCTTGGGTGAGAAAAAAACCCAGCTTTATTGAGATATACTTTACATATAAAACTCAGCAATTTTAAGTATACATTTTAATGGTTTGCAGTATATTTACAGACTTGTACAAACATCACCACTATGTAATTTCACTACATTTTCAATACCTCCCCGAAATAAATCTTGTGCCTATATACAGTCACTCCCTGTTCCCAGCCCTGGCCATGCACAACCACTTATAGGTAAGTCTTTTCTGGGAATTTCTTATAAGTAGAGTCATACAATATGTAGCCCTATCTGGCCTCTTTCACTTAGCATGTTTTCAAGGTTCATCCATGTTATAACATGTATCATAGCTTTATTCTTTTAAAACTATGACCAAATAATATTCTACTGTAGGGATACACCACATATGTTTTTTAATCCATAAGCTAATGGTCATTTGGGTTGTTTTCACTTTTTTGGCTATCTTCAAATAGTGTTGTTATGAGAACTGGTGCACAAGTTTTTGTGTGAGCACACTTTTTCATTTCTCTTTGGTAAAATGCAGTAAAGAATTAACCTGGCCTAAGAAAGATTTGATCCTTTGCCCCTAGCTCCTGAGAGGTAATGTCTAAGTCCTTGGAGTATCCTGATTGATAAGAGTGTCTTTGTTTACCTAGGGACTTTAAGCCATGTCAGATAGTCTAAACTAACAACATGATTTATGGTGGAGGCATTGGGCCATGTGATATCAGCCTGATCTCTGGAGAGACCATGTGCGTGGTCATCCATGTCTACTTGACCAATTCCTAATCTCTGAACAGCAAGAGTGAGCTTCCCTGGCTGGCAACACTCTGTGTGTCCTATCGTACATCATTGCTAGGAGAAATAAGCACTGTTCACAAGATTTTACTTGGAGAGAAAAACGGGAAGGTCCATACCTGGTCTCTCTAGGTCCCTGCCCTATATACCTCTTCCCTTTGATTTTAATTTGTATCCTTTCATTCTAATAGACTGTAACCATAGTGTAATGGCTTTTCTGAGTTCTAGTAAATTAATGAACCTGAGGGTAGTCTTGGGACCTTGAATTACAGGTGTATACTTATAAGTAGAACTGTTGGGCCATAATGGTTACTCTATGTCTAACCTTTTAAGGAACTTCCAGACTCTTCCACAACAGTTGTACATTTTATATTTTCTAAAAAATATTTTGTTTATTTATTTATCTTTAGAGAGAGGGCAAGGGAAGGAAGAAGAGAGGGAGAGAAAAATCAAATGTGAGGGAGAAACACCAATCGGTTTCTTCTCATACATGCCCTGACTGGGGACTGAACCTGTGATCCAGGAATGTGCTCTAACTGGGAATCAAACTAGTGACCTTTCACCTCAAGAAACAATGCCCAAGTAACTGAGTCACACCAGTTAGGACACTTTTTTGCATTCTTATCAGCAATGCATGAAGGGACTAATTCTCCACATTCTTTAAAAAAATATATATTGTTGGAGAGGTTGTGGAGAAGAGGGGACCTTAATCCATTGTTGGTGGGATTGCAGACTGGTACAACCACTGTGGAAAACAGTATGGAATTTTCTCAGAAAACTAAAAGTGGACCTGCCTTTTGACCCAGCAATTCCACTGCTGGGATTATATCCTAAGAAACCTAAAACACCAATCCAAAAGAACCTATGCACCACAATGTTCATAGCAGCACAATTTACAATAGCCAAGAGCTGGAAGTAACCTAGGGGCCTGTCAGTAAGTGAATGGATCAAAAAATTGTGGTACATATACACAATGGAATTCTATGCTGCAGAGAGAAAGAAGGAGCTACTACCTTTTGGAACAGCTTGGATGGAACTGGAAAGCATTATGCTGAGTGAAATAAGCCAGGCATTGAAAGACAAATACCGTATGATCTCACCTTTAACAAGAAGCTAAACAACAAAACAAACAAGCAAGCAAAATATAACCAAAAACACTGAAATAGAAAACGGGGGACAGTGACCAGAGGGGAGAGGGGAGGAAATTTCAGGGGAAAAAGGGGAAGGATTTACAGGAACTAGTATAAAGGACAGATGGACAACAACTAAGGGGGGTGGAAATGGGAGGGAGGTGGGGAGCACTGGGGGGGTGGGCTGGGATGGGAGTAAAAGACAGAAAACTATACTTGAACAATAATTAAATAAAAAGAAAAAAATTACTATTACCATTAAAAAAGAATATGGCTAGCAAGCTTGTGATTATTACTAAAACAAAACTGAAATGACAAGAAGATTAATCAGGGATAACAGGAATGATAAATATGAAATGTAAATAAATATAAAAAGTGTTCAAACCTAAAACAGAAGATACCACCATTGAAATGAAGATCGTAACATATACACCAAAAGAGTACACTGTAGGAAAATTGAAATAAAATGCTGAATACAAAAAAAAATTACTAATTTTTAGAAAAATGGGAAGTGAGGGAAAGAGGGAGAGAAACATCAATGTGTGGCTGCCTCTCACATGCCGCCTACTGAGGACCTGGCTTACAACACAACCATGTGCCCTGACTGGGAACTGAACTGCCAACCCTTTGGGTTTGCAGGCTGACACTAAAGCCACTGAGCCACACCA